GCTGCTTGAGGGCAGGCACTGCAAGGATCCTCGCAGAGTGTAGTTGCTCAAGAGGAATGTGCAAGAAGAAGAGAAAATGCTGAACCAGGAAATTTCAGTAGGATCTAAAATTTTCTTTCAGATGATTATTTTTTCTATTGTCCTCTTAATATTTTAATGCTCTGTTTTACTGAGAAACTGTATCATATTTCTGATTATTTTCCTCTTAAAATAATGATATCCTTGTACTTTTATAGAAAATACCATAATATTAGTTGTATGGGGTATCCCATTTATTTCCTAAACTGAAGAAATGAGGGAAGTTTTCCCCAGTTTTCTAAAAATTGTAACTGACACATAAGCAGAACAAAATTTACATAACACTTAGAAAGTCTGACCTGTGTTTGCCTTCCCAAACTTCCACAACCATTATTTTATTGTTATATGGAACAAATTTATTTTCAAGAATTTCTGGCATCTCTCTAGTCAGTATTATCCTTCTTCCATGTCTGTGCATAGTTAGTAGGCAAGGAATCTAATTCCCTAGAAAGCATATTATCCGAAACTTACAATCTGTATATGCCACTATGTTTAATTTTTTTCTAAGGTTCCCCTCATCCTCTTTGTCGATACCTATTTTTAAAAGTCATTATTGCCTTCCAGCTGTCCAAATTTTCTTCTCATTTTTCTCTTAAAAACTGACTTAAAGCAGGAGGTCAATACCTCAGCCATCATTAATTTCACGCCCTCCTCTTCTCATTTATTCACTGGTCTTTTTTCTCTTGAGGATCCCTTTTTTCCTTGGTGCATTTATAAAAGACCTCCTTACTCCATTTAACCTCTTTTACTAGCAATATCTCATTTACCACTTTTGCGCTCCTTATCTTTTCTTTGCTAACTTTAAGTTGTTCTGTCTATTTTTATATAGTTCCTGCCTTCTTCCCTCCCAGGGCAATTGTCCTATTAAACACGGATCTTGAACAGCCATTGGGGATAACAGACTGTATTTTTACTAGACTGGCAGAGGCAGAGGGGCTCAGTGTTCTGCCCAGTTCTCTCACTTCCACAGTGCAAATAAGGCTCTGGCACTTTAATGATATTGTCTTAGACTAATTCGCACCCTACCCACAATTATGAATCTTCACACATATTCCCACTGCATCATCCATATTAGATTTCTTCCCAATGTGTTTTACCATGAGGAATCGTATGTCCTAGTGTTGTTATCAATGATCACATTTCTAAATAGGTAGCTGAGAGAATGGAAATGATTTACTCATTAGGGTGAGGTCATTTGCATACAGTTAAGTAATTTGCAGGCTGGAGGATCCCAGAACCATGTTTCTAAGACTTTTCCCCATTTCTTCTTTAGTAACAAGGTGTATCTTATTTTCATTCCCTATAAAACTGTCCTTTATTTTCCTCTGTCACTCCTGCTTATGCTTACACTAACACAAGCGTATCATTGCCAGGTAGTCTTTACCTCCTAAGCTAATGTTCTCTTTGGCATAATTCATCATCCCCTCTGATTTTTCAGGGCTGGTGACAATGGTGACTCCCCTAATATCTGAATGAAGTCCTTCATAAATATTTTGCTGAGTGATTGATACCTCCTCTAGTTATTTTTCTCACACCTCTTCCCCTTAGCATATAACAGATGGGATTCCATCATCAGAAACAGATGTTGTGGAAAAAAGTACCAGGAGCCCAGAAGCACTCTTAGCCCCAGCTCTCCCATTAACTACCTCCGCTGTCCCCACAAAACATTTAACCTTCCTGGGCCTCCATTTCCATGCCTGTAAAGTGCAGAGAAACGCATCTTCCATATACAAAAGTGTTTCCCAATATAAAATGGTTTGATACTTGGATTTCTGATATGGATTTGCCAACTCATGCTAACTTTTCATAAACAAATTAAATAGAAATTATTTTCTGTCTCGCCCATCTCCTTCATGAGCTTTTCATACAAATAAACAGACAAACTCACTTCTAGGAAGGTCAGTCACCATTTGAGAAACTCCTCCTGGTGAATTTTCAGACACTAAACAAAAGGATAATTTTAACTGCTCCCATCTCCATCTCAAACCATGTCTCATTAGCAACTGCAGTCTCTGCTTTTATTTATATGAGTTAAGAGAGACCCTGCAGGGAGAAGCAGGGGCTCTTGTTTGATTTTTGACTGAGCTTCCTTCATTGAAGTAAGGTGTCAGGGATCCCTATGGATCTGGAAAGCATTTTGGAAGTAAGAAGCAGACATGTAAATCTTTTAAACCCCCATGATAAGCAAACTCTCCTCAGTTCAACATATAAATATAAACACTAAATCAAATCAGATGCTTATACATTTTTTAATCCCATCATAAAACATTTTGTTTTGACAGCTTGGTAATGTAAAGTAGAAACACCGACCGCCAAAAGAATCAGCATCTTTGCCTGCCTACTACCTGAAGGTCTAGTTTTTCCTGTATATAAATAGGAAAAAAATGTATGTTTATGTAAAGGGAAACACTGATTTACTAGAACTGATTGCTGCATAGTCTAATTACTTTTCAACTGGCTGTTCCAAATTAAGATGTCATTGATGGCTTTTGGTGATATATTTCATTTTAAGCAAATTTATTCTATAATAGAGTACATCATAATGGAAAGCAGAGTTCCTACTCTTCCCTCCTCTTTGTAGCCTGATATCTTGACAAGTAAATTAAATTTAGCAGTTAAAATGCTTCCATTAGTAATTTTATTAAGTTAATTAAAGAATCTCTCTTTCTGAATTTTAACTACCTTCCTTTCAGAACAATGTTGATTTCTTTTTTTAATTTCATGTATTTAGGGACTGTGATATATTCTAGAACCAATCAACAACTCTATCAGCATTACATTCCTGTGGCCAAGATGCTACCAAGCAAATCATGTAAAGAGAAGAAATAGCTCAGAAGCTTTTGAAAGAGATGGTCTGCTTCATGTCACAGAACAACTCAGATTTTAGCATCTTTAGGAGGAGAAAAAGGAGGAGGGGTGGGAAAAAAAAGGAAAGAAAAAAATATGCATACTGTTGAGGCTACATTCTTACAAAATGGCAGAACTCTGACTAGTGTCTCTATACCTACAGTGTAAATCATAAATAGTCCAAGTAGAATTTAGCTTAATGATGGGAAGAGATGAAATCTCCCCCTTTTTCTTATTTGGTATAGAGGTAGAACTCAGCAAGAATCTGAATTTGGCAATATGCCTATCAAATGAAATTTTGAGCCTTATTCAGAGAGTGATTTTTTTTTTTTTTAAATAACGTGAACATTTCTAAGAGACTTGAGGTGAAAGAACATTTCTAAGAAACTTGTCTCATGATCCATTGCTTCTTCTTACAGGAAGTTTTCCTTAACTCATAAATCATAGATGTTATTTTCAGAGTTGGAAGGGAAGACAGAGGAATTCCTTGTCCTCTCCTTTTAAAGATGAGGAAACCAAGAGCCAGAGATTAACAGTGCTACCACCACCAGTAATAATAATAGAAACTACAACAATAGTGGTTAATATTGGCTGAACTCAATGTGAAGCTTTGCATGCATTTTCTCATTAAAATTCACACAAGGGAGATTCTTTCAACACCCTAACTTGATGGATACAGAAAACAATGCCTAAATGTTACATAATCTGTGCAAAATCTGTGACTACCTAGTCCTGTGTTCATAAATAGGGCACATTGTTAAGTTAGAAAAAATACCTGAGTTCCTACAACTAGTTAGTGGATTCTCCAAGGCTAAAGCTCGGGATAGTTACTTAAATCTGCTCTGTATAATGTAGATTAGATGGAGAAAAAAAGAAGAACCAGTGAGCAAGTTCAGGCTGTGGCTATTAGAAAATGCTGATTTCTTTTTAAAGAAAATCCTATTGCCAGGGTACCCAGTGGGCTATTTGCTTTGTGAGTGAACCTTTAGCAAAAGGTGTACCTATGTGTTTAGACCCAAACTAACATTTCATTTAAAACTGGGGGAATCTAGTCTTTACTCATTCGTTGGAGATATAAAGGACAGTCAAGGATCAAGTCTAGGGCAAATTACTACTACTATCTCCCATCTTCCTTCATTTTCTAATACCTTGCCCCTTAGAACAGCTCACTCCCTGTGTTTACAGATTCATTGTTTAATCTCCACAATCTCTCTCAAAGTTAGTCCCACCACTCTGTTAATCCTCATCTATATCTTTTCCCACTAGTGTCTCCTCTCATTCACACTCAGGTACCAACTTCCCCCTTCCTCCACTTCTACTCTTTACTCTGGGAGATTGAAGGCCTTTGGTATATACCTTGCTATATTCCAAGATGAGAATAAGTCACCTTGGATTTTATTTTTTCTGTCCTTCACCCATTCTTCTGATTATTTTTGCAAAATTCCAATGAAAATGGCGACTCATAGACCCTTCCTAATAGAATAGAATATATAAGTCCAGAAAAATGTGTAATAGGCCAGAAGAAAGAATGAGACCATTGTGTGTGTGTGTGTGTGTTTCCCTTCCCAGTTCTTACACTGGCAAAAGTTAAAATGGCAAGTGTGTATCTACCTTTATGACCTTTTTATATTCTGGGAAGCCCACCCCACTCCTCCCCCATATCAAGATAAATAGGGTTTGAGCTTTATTACCCTTTGCCCCTTAATCCGTCTCTTGTCATTCTGAGAACTGATTTTCAAGATGATGCATCAAAACTTTTGGAGCACAAGAAATTGTCTGATGTTCCCATGGTGTTTTGGTGGAAGATGTTCCTATTCCTAAGTAAGCCTGCTCCTCTGAAGTAATGCTTTGGGAAAAAAAACACCTAGTGTCTCTACAATTAAATACTAGATAGACCGACCAAGGAAAAAAAGAGAATGGATCAGCTAGGTTTTTATGGATCTGCTAGGTTTTTTTTCTGATTAGAAAGATCTTCCATTCCCTGACCTTTACTGAGAAAGAATGTTACCCTTAGCCTGGAAGAATATTTTCTATGGATCTGTCATAAAACAAAGATGTTTTCATTCAAAATTTACCTCTTACTTCCTTGATCTCCTCCCATTCACATTGCAGCTACTCTTTGGAGAGGGTCTTTTTCAATTATTTTGTGGAGCTTGTTATTTTTTTTAATGTAAGTTCAAATCCAGATAGTGAAATCTGTTTCATATTTGTAATCGGTTTTCAGCTCCTGGAAGAAGCCCAAATTGATAAGTACCTGTGAGTGAGAAGAAAAAGAAAAAGAATATAGTTATGTGACCTGAGTTTATATAAAAGATGAGAGAAGATAATTCAAAGGGAAATAACTAACATAAATAAACATGTCCTCTGCTTCCACCCCAGACATTCTGGCCCAGCTTTCCACCTGGACAGTGATCAATTAAATGTATAGAACCACAAAAGAGCCATCTGGATCGTGAAAGTATGTGGCAAAATCCCCATTATTTGTCACATGAAAGGAAGAATGTGTGATTTCTTTAAAAAATGAAATACCAAAGAAAGATGTACTGAGTTTGAGGCAAGAGGAGATGCAGCCCGCCACAGTTGAAAAAGATTCGATAAGCTTCTTCTTATGTGTCCTTCACCCTGGAGGCTGCTGAAGAGGCCTGAATATCTGGCTTAAAGTGAGTGATGCTACTTGAAATGAAAAGCAAGGAGATTGCAAATCACTCTTCTGCACAGGCTTGGAATAAGCTATGGCACGGCTGATGGACAGATTCAGGTATTTAAGTGAGTGTGATTTCCAAGCAACAATTTCTACACCCTACACTGTCGTTGACCTCCATCACGCAATTGGACATGTTTATGAAGGCATAGGCAGTAGGATGAAATGCAGTGGGAAAAAAATGCTGAAGTCATTTTCCAACAGCACAGCAGTATTATTGCAAAATGAAGCCACATTACCCCAATCAGCAGTGGAGTCCAGCCTCACACCTTCCTCTGCTTAATGGTCTGAGTCCATTCCACCAGAGGACCTTTCTGATTCAGGAATCCATTTGGAAAAAACCAAATGAAGTAGGTAATCCAATGTGTGTGGTCAGACGAGGTCAAGACCCACAAAAAGACTTGAATAAATAATACAAGACTACACTTTTGTCTTTTTCCATTTCTTCCCCTCTTTCTTTTCTTCTTAAAGGCATAGACATTGGGACAATAAAACTACCCTAAAAAGAATTTTTTTTTCCTCTGTAATCTGACTGGCCAGAAAGCAAAAGCAAAATAGCCAATTAGCAGCTTTTAAAATAAAACATAATTAACTGTATGATTTACACAGTCTACAATTGTACGTTCAATTAAATAATTGAAAAGCCTTTGTAAAGAATAAGCACCTCAGGGCTGGGGTTGTAGCCCAGTGGTAGAGCTCTTGCCTAGCACATGCGAGCCCTGGGTTCGATCCTCAGCACCACATAAAAATAAATAAATAAAATAAAGGCATTGTGTTCTAACTACACCTAAAAACATATTCTTTAAAAATTAAAAGAATAAAAACCTCAACTGCACACTGATGCTATATGGTCTGCTAATATTTACTGCTTCTTCACTAGGGCCTAAGACATTTACTTCTGCAAAAAAATTAAGAACAGAAATTTCTATTCTGCTGCCCTAGACATTATGATTGCTGTATGTATATAGGTGACTGTATGACCAATGTGATTCTGCAATCTGTACAATCAGAAAAAATGAGAAATTATACCCCAATTGATTCAAATGTATGAATTGCCAAGATCATTGTAATGTCATGTGTAGCTAATAACAAAAAAAGAACAGAAATTTCTTATGTCTAGTAGGAACTCCTAAAAATGTTTATTGTTGCTTAAATCGGATATTTACATTGACCCTCTTCTTGAACCTTGTTAGAAAACCCCAATACTACTAATAACATGAAGACTTTTCCTGAAGGTAGAGCAATGCTGTATCTGATACACCCCTACCTTCTCTATTGGCTCATGGAATTTTTTTCTGGGAACTGCATCTGCTTATGTTCTGTGATACATTTTATGTATTTCATATATCTACATATACTTAGATCTGTAAATAGTTGAGGCTAGTTCCATTTGAACTATTGGGGAGAAGACAATAGCCATTAGTGGGAGCACAGAAATCTATAATCACAGCTTTTTCCATTGCGAGAAACCCAGTAGTGAAGATTTTTATATTCCATCTAATTGGATAGTGATTTCTATACACATCTATTAGACCATAAGATAGTTCAAGGCAGAGACCATCTTAATTAACATTCAATAGCTACAGCAATATTTGGCCTTCCATCGTGGGGAAGAAAATAGAATAAATGGATGAATGAAGCAGAGAACTAACATTTAAACACAGACAATAATTATTTGTGCTATAGTTACACTATACACTGAGAACTGTCTGGAAGAGTTTTCAGAGAGCAATGGAGAAAACTTGGCTGACTATTCTTGGAGAACACGTTGACTGTTTGTTGGATGGAGACAGTTCACCAAGAAAGCAGATTTTGACCCTTCAAGAACTTGAATGTGATGATGAGTTTATGACAGTTCTAAAAGCCAACATACGGTCGGTGGCCAGATTGTGGTTCTGGACTCAGAGGCTTCCATTTGGAAGGCAGACAAGCATTTGAATTATGGGTCTAATGAAAGTGTCAATAGCAATCCTGTTACTGGAGGAGCTGTAAAACCCTGCTTAATGAACTAGGCAGGGACACAGAAACACAATGGTCTAAAATGTACTGTATGAGAAAATGATAATTAGCCCAGATTTCATGTACAAGATAAAATGCATAGGGATGATATTACTACTGAGCAATATTATAGCCCTTTAGGGGCCTGTTCTGTTAACAGGGTTTGGCTCAGCCTTTTCCATATTCCTTGTGTGAGTGGAGATGTGATACACAATTGTGAGCTGTGAGTTAGGAAAAGAATGTCAGATGGTAAAATTCCTAGCACAGATGCTTGTCAACAAAAGGGTTCTGGCCTCACCAAGAGTTCACTTTTCTTTGGAAGGCTTGATATAAAATGCCTCTTTTATCCCTTTCGGTAATCCCATGAAGTAATTATCATCCCCAGGTGTCTCAGGTGCTGCGACCAGCAAACAGCAGCATGAGGCTATCATCTTAAGTTCTTCTGCCACAGAGGTCGGCATTCTTCGTGTGGCTTGGAATATAGTCAGGGCGGGGAGAAGGGACAAAATGTTTTTTAAAAGAGGGGTAAAATAATACATATTTTAAAGTGCACCATTATGGAGACTGAGCTGTGAAGAAACGAAGAAAGGAACTCACTCTGGACCTGGGTAAAGGCTGGTTTTGTGGAGAAGGCTGGCAGGGCCCAATGGTCATTTAATCACTATACCCTCCTACTACCCACAAGGGAAGAAAGTTGGACAGACAGTAGACAGACGAGGTGAGAAGATAAAGGATCCTGAAAGGCAAAAGTGATAGGGTTTGTTTTTGAAAATAAAAGGGTCAAAAAGTCTTTCTAATGATGATCTGGAGAATCAACATATGGGAAACTGCTTTTCTTTTTTAAGAGATATTTGGGCACAGGGAATACATACAGCCACTGGGGTGGGTAAAGGGAGCATGTGCTGCTAAGATAACCTACAGGCAAATCCTGAATAAGCTGAAACCTCCAGCCAGACAAAAGCCTATTTGTAAATTACTCCACTTAATTTCCCAGGTCATGATCGCCTCTCTCTGCAAAGCGGTTTATGACATTCTCAATTAAGAGTTTGCTATAAAAATGAATGAATGAAGGATTTCAAAACTGCTATGAGATATTAAAGATGAGTCACTTTTAAAAAGTGGTTTTGTTTCCTGTGTTCTGGATAATGCATTTGAGAATGTAGTTTCAGCCTCACCCATCACCCCATTGTGAAATCAAATTGAATGACTCTCTGCTCTTAGAATGATCGCTCATTCAAATGCATTCAATAAATAAAGCCCAAACACAATGAGGCACTTTTCCTAGAGCATCCCAGAGAGCTAGGGCCTGGTCTCTCTCACTGTATGAAGCTGAGATTAAAGTAAATAAAGCATTCACCCACACTGACTGCATAATACATAGCAACTTATTGTTTACTAAGCCTTACATGTACATTATCTCATTTGATCCTCACAAGGACCTCATAATAAAGACGTTGTTGATTTATTATTCCAATTTAACATGGAATCTGGGGCTCAGAGTGGTCAGTGATTTGCCTAAAGTCACACAGGAATCCAGAAGACACTTTAAATCTACTTATCTCCTCCGCCTCCAGAAACAGGAAACATATCTTTCTTAAGTACAAAACAATATAATTAGCAGAAGCATTACCCAAACTAGGCAGAAATATTTAATTCATTCAGATATGCCTCTGGTGAATTTGTAAATACTGAGGAATTCATTTTCCACTCTGCAATTCTGCGAATTCTACCCTGGACAAAAGGTCATCCAAATATGATCCTTGTTCAGAGTTATGGAAATGTATGCAGCCTAAAAGAATATGGGCCAAATGCAGAGTAAAAATATCCATGTAACTCCCAGTGCCATTTACTCTTGCTGCCTCAAATCCTTTTTGAAATTAGACAGGTTATAAAGCATAAAAAAAAATAAGAACATAAACTCTCGCCCTAAATTCAATTATCATATATCAGAGAGGGTCATAAGTGTAGTAGGTTAGATCGAAAGTAACACAAGACAAAAATAGGTATGGTGAGCAAGCCCCGGGGGTGAGGAGTTTTCTTTTTAACTCTTTAATTTTCATCTAGATAAAGTATTGAAAAATGATCTGAAAAACCATAGAAAATAAATTTCCCCCAAATCAACCTCCTTTCAGCCTCTGGTCTTAATTATCCAGAAGTTGTTAAGGAGAATAATTAGGAGACAGAGATCATACTCATCTTAAGTGAATCTGAGGTCAGAACTGTACAGAGTAGCATTTAAGAATAGGGGAAAATGGGACACCAAACGGCATGGCTTCCTGAAGAGGAGGTGACAGAAGCAGAGCCAGGTTCCTTTCCTAACACAGCCTTGCAAACCCTGTTCTGAAGCTAACAGAGGCCAGTGCTCTCTTTCCTGCACTTGGCTCTCCTTTGCTTCCATCCTCCTCTATGCTGCAAAGCCATCTTGCAGAGTAGGTCCCTGGGAAGCTCCAAGCCTCCCCCAGAGGTTGGGCTCCATATCTGGCTGATCAGAAGCCTTCTTGGTTCTCAGGGACCCTCTTCCTCAAAATGTGTAGTTCCCTTCTCTTCTAAATCTC